CCTCTGGTCGTGTGCAATTGTAATTGTGCCCGAATGTGATGGAACTTACGTTGACGAATATTTACAAGCCTACAATTATGGACTAATTAATTACCGCTCTGTGACTCCTGTTCCACGGTGGGAGTTCCCTGCCCTTCTCGGCCATTCGATAATTATGTCACCACTCCTCGGGTGTGTTTATTTACATTTGGGTGAACGGTGATGCCTCTAATGGCTGCAAGCTCGACGTGGACTGAAACGCACGCGTTCTCTCTGTGCGCCGCGCGCTTTGTGAATGCGTGCAGGGCGAGCTTGGGAAATGGCACCGATGAAATGGACGAATCGTTCCGGTTCTCTCATTCACACGACCCAACACATTTAGACAAAGTCGCAGCAATACAATGTTACCATCGCCATTGAAACTACTAGCAACGAAGCTTTCCAAGTAAAAGTGTGTACGTGCTGTTATTCACATTACCGCAAATAACCTCTCACCCTTCGGCCTCTGCGAGCACCATCGTGGACTATTTTAGATCAGTGCTTCCCCGGTGTTTAATGACATGCCGCTCATTGCTATTCCGCGCCATGCCTTCCGCGCCTGTTGACTTCCCTTCATGCAAGAATCTGTCCTTTGTTGGAAATGTGAAGTTCGCCGTGGGTACGGCGACTCGTATGGTAATGAGGGAATAGCCCCGCGGGGCGGGCGGGTGTGTGTCTGAGACGCAAGATGCCAGATGTGGAGTGTGGGGAGGGGGGATGGATGCGACGCACGCAGGTGAAGAAGCGTCAGTCACCGTCTGCTCAGACAGAGATCCCTGAGCACGAGGTCACGGGCCTGGGAGAAAGGCGCGAGTCTTTACACCACTCTCCAACAACAAGTATAACGAAGATATGGTTATGACCATGATAACGCAGTTTCTGGATTATAAGACGCACGCATTCTACCGTGAGTTTAAAGCAAATGTTCAGGGTGCGTGTTGCATTCCGGTATAGGTGATCGTGTGTGTATGTGCGAGGCCAGATCTATATAACTTTATTGACAGCGGCACAAGTTTGGGGCACGTATTACATTCCAGAGCGTCTTATATTCCAGAGAATATGGTGCCATTCTGTGGTCATACGATAACTTTTATTTCCGCTAAGTTAGTTTAAGAAAAATGAAAGTTCATCGAAACACTCACTAACGCTGCAATGATCTTTCCACATTATAATACAGCACTGGTAACATTTAAAATCAGCGCAGTTCATAATTAATTTAATCATGGTGTATAACCGCACGGATGCAGCTTGTTGCATCATTATCCAATTTTAATCAATGAACATAACCACCGGTCCCAGCTATTATGGTACCGATGAAAGTGTAAGCGAGCCATATTAATCACTAATCGGTCGTAATTACTCATAAGGATAATCAAAATATACAGAGCAATGGCTCATTTTGGTTATCACCGCTTATGGTAATCGTGCTCTCATCAATGAGCAATCAAGCATTAATTATAGTGATTACGTTCAGAGTAATTGCCAGCCAAACAATTAAGTTAAATCCAGGGTGGTGGTGGTGGTGGTGAATTTAAACTGTTTTGCTTCCAAAATGCGATCGCGCAGATTAGAAAACGAGCAGAACTCTACTCGGGCTGAACGATTTTGGGGAAATATCTACTTGCGATTTCGATTTGAAATCGATTAATCGTTCAGCCCTAAACTCTACCAACTAAGGCCCGCAGCGTGTGCTGCGACTCCTCCGGGCGCCGCGCGCTCTGCACCCGGCGAGTTCCAGTCACGGCCACAGGCCCCCTGACTTCATCCAGCAGTGGATTGACAAAGGGCTCTACATTAGTATCTGCTTGTACGTCTTTCCCTACATCTCACGGAGGGTTTCTGTAACCATATCAACGGTAGGCGATCGATTACAGCTCTAGAATATGGTTCAAAGTTCAATTTACATATTTACACAAACAGTACCGTATCCCTGCACTGCCGAGCGGGGATAACTCTGGCGGGGGTAACTGTAGCGGGGTAACTGTAGCGGGGTAACTGTAGCGGGGTAACTGTAGTGGGGTAACTGTAGCGGGGTAACTCTAGCGGGGTAACTCTGGCGGGGCAACTTGAGCAAGAAACCCACACAGTGGTGGTGGTCGACACAGAGCGCTGCGTGGTGGAGCAGGGGAGCTCGGCGACCTCTTGTGCGTCCACCCTCTGTGCGATTGACCTTTCATCCTCTGCGGTGTAACGAGCCAGAGGTCAACCTCGTCCAGCCGCGGCACGCGCCGCCGCCGTCATCGCAAGCTTCTTTGAGCCGCAATGCTCAATGCTCATTTGAGCAGGAAATCACTTCGGCAGATATTGGCTCCGGATGTGCTCTCGGTATATTCTCGCTCTCTCTCTCTCTCTCTGTGTGTGACCCACAGTCGCGAGGCAGCACGCAGGGATTTGAAGCTCCGAACGCATTTTTTTTCCTTCTCCTGTTCATCGTGGAGCGTTTGTCGAGCCACCTGCTGAATTGTCACGAGACGGCCCCCCTACTGACCCCCCCCCCATCTTCCTCACTAAGAGGCTTCTTTGGCTTTGGGCCTGAGGGTTTGAGAGCTGCAGAGCGGCTGCCCACCCCGTGGGGGCCGCCTCCCAGCTACAGCTGGGACCCGATGACTGATTACGTCTCTCAGTGGCATTCGTTTACAGTAACGCCGTATTGATACGAACGACTGCGAACACACGGACGTGCCAGTGTTCGGTCTTGTATAGTCTTCATTAAGCACAGCTCTCCCTTGAAGCAACTGTTTTTAATTATTAAGTAAAAAATAAGTTCGTAAAAATATTTATTATCCATGACTGCACGCTTAAATTGACCAATTATGAATGTCTAATGTCCCTTCATTCTCCCATTTGGGACCAATTTAAATAATTGCATTATGAAAACTTTAAGTGAGCTATGATAATGAGCCACAATTCCTTGTAAGATATGTGCGAAGAAGTTTGTTGCATTTATTTCGTTGTTTTTATATCGACGGAGTCGCGAAGGAAAGGGGCCGTCCAAATCCCAAGCCTTTCAAACTGGGCCCTGCGTTCACGTAAACAAACATTCAATGCGTTTTCTCTGGCTAATATGGCTTTTTTTAATGTACTTTCTTATTTATTTTAGAGAAACTTATTAAAACATCAATAGGATAGGAAAAAAACACTTTCATAAATACTACTGTTATATCAACATTGAGGGTCTCAAAGGGTGGGGGGGCGGTGGGGGGGGGGGGCGGTGAGTGGGGGGGGCGGTGGTGAGTGGGAGGGGCGGTGGGTGGGAGGGGACGGTGAGTGGGGGGGGCGGTGGGTTGGGGGGGGGTGCGCTGGGGGGGTCATTCTCTCCCATTGCCTCCCCCGGATCCCCCTCTGGTCCTAAGACATCGGTTGAGGTCATCCCGACTGGAGCCTCTGACACGGCCACCGCTTCCTTCCTGCTCATTGATTCCCTCGCGATTGTTGTAAAGGGGACCCAGGACCGGACCTTCAAAGTCCGCTCAGACAATAACACATCATCACCACCACCACATCACCATCGCCGTATCACCATCGCCACCACCGTGTGGATTGAGATCTTACCCGAGGTTCGGAGCTAAATGTCAACGTTGGGGCCTGATAGCCACGAGAGGGCTTCTCTCCTTTCCTAAAAATGAACTGTTGGAAACGCTCGTCCCCGTTCGAGTTCACAAAACGAAATGAACCCTCACGATTATCTCGTGTTCTGTATTCCAGTTTTCTTGTCAAGCTAATCTGGGGGAGATCCTGCCCGAGGTCAGATGTTAATTGCCAATGGCCAAGAATCGAACTACCCAGGATGATAAGGGCGTAGTGTAAATTCTCAGATAAGCGTATTCACGACATAACTCTACAACATGAGCACGTTAGACCAAATCACATTGAATGCGCGCAAATCATCAGATCTTGGAAGCTAAGCCGAGTTCTGCCTGTTTAGCAATTGGATGGGAGACCAACAGGGAATAACATACGCTGTTGACATGGCGAATGCAGCAAAGGATTTTCAAAATCTTGTGTGGAGCTTTGAATGCGAAATCAAACAATGCCCAAACCCCTATGCGATGAACACACACAGTACCGTATACGTGTATTCTCACACGCACGGGCACACGCCTGCACACGAATGTTACGCAATTAAATTGCATTTTTGTGGCAAAAATGCCCTGGCGAAAATCGGCAAGAACATTGTCATCTGCCAAAGTGGGAACCAATGCCTTAGGGAAGAATGCGCGGCGTTACTTTAATGGCTTGGCAGGCGAAAGGGAGAAAAAGTATTCGGCACAGTGAACCCCTTTAACAAGCAGCGCGTTGCCAGAGCGATACATCGCGAGGGGTCCTGCTAAGTGCCCCAGCTGGCGAGATTACATTCGTGGAAATGTTTAGCTCATCGTGAAACAGGGGCCCGCGTTCCTGACCCACGGCTGACAGAAGAGGCAGCCCCAAAGCATCTCGCACGCAAGTCGCCCCCACTCCATCCACCTCTGCAATGGGAGCCTCGGGTGCGACTCTGAGCAGCACTGCACGGTCCTGTGCCTGCCTGGTTTTGCAAAGCCCCACAGCAGCACCGTGCGTGTGTTTGGTACAACTTTACCCATAATTTAAAGTAAAATCAACTCTAAGCAAAACTATTTGTTGTTTTGTCGGACAAGGACCACTGAGCTACACATATCTTTTTCAGAAGCGACCTGGCCACACGTGATAGCTCGACGAAGAGGCTTATCGCGTGGACTTTTATAGCAGCCAAATACTCTCAACGAACGTTTCTAAATATGGAGGGAATCACCAGACGACCCGGAGAAAAATCCACGCGAACACGCAGAGAGACGCACGCAAACTCCCCACGACCTAATTCACTATTATACTTGGCATCATCCAAGGGGGGCTTTGGCAGGACACGTCGTGGCTACAAGGGACGGTGGTGGCGATGGTCAGACTCACGAGCCCAGCTGGCGAGTGCACACCTCGAACCCACCTGCAGTAAGCGCGCGCAAAGACTTCCACACTCACAGCGAGATGTCATCCACGACAAACACAAACACGTGTCGACAGGTTGTCGTCAACTTGTCAAACACTGGCGCAGGTCCAACATTATTTATTATCCCCTTTACAGTTGCATGTCTGCTTTAAAAGGCTTCGACAAAATCGTTGCTTAATAAAATAGGTTTTACAAGTCGCTCCTTGGCTTAAAATCAACAATAGGATGCGCTGAGGACAAGGGGCGCGGTTCTGTTTGACAACGTCTTAACATTCCCAGGAAATTCGCCTGCAAAGGCAATTGTTCAGCTTTGTTTGCCACAGGTACAACGACTGTTATCGAGCAGTCCGCATTACGTAAAACAGATCGGTAATTAGAACATTACGTACAGAAATGGTCCGTGCCGATAAGCATCGGGACAGTTGACCAGGAAGCTGTTGTAAACGGTCAAGCAAGCCTGACCGCTGACAACATACCGAGTGTCGAAACCGGTTCTGAATGCTCTTGCATTTGAACCAATACTGCTCATGAAATGCACTTCCCAGAAGGCCAACGGGTCACGTACACAAAATTGACCAAAAATATGTTTTGTGAAGACGCGAATTGGGTAGGAGGCATCATGAATTGCATTAATGGTGTCATACGGTCATTAACGTCGCCTCGTGCGGGACTCGGAAGCCACCAGAGCCACGAGAAACCCTTTCATCTCGGCGGCTGTCAACAGAAACAGCAGCACTCCGGTTCGTGTGCCCTTCAGTGCCATGCGGGCAGCTCCTGCCTGCGTCTGTCTGCACCGACACGAGATTTCGTATCTTCACAGAAAAAAAAACACCGTCGACGGCGACCTGCAGTTCGCTTTCGGTGTGGACGCGTTTGCGGGCGCTGACGCGATGGCTTTGAGACTGCGCTTCAGAAAAAAGTTTCTATGAGAGGGGAGGCAAGAGGACGTCGGAGAATTGACAGCGTAGGTGGAGATGACCAAAGTGAAAACAGCCCCAATGCGTAGGCCGCTGGGACGATGCGCCGCTCGCTCCTCGTCCATTGTGACGAAATGAGGGAGGGGCGTTGTGGGCCGTCGGTGGAGGGACAGACACGTGGAGGAGGTGCAACGTCTGATGATTTATTTTGTTGCTTAAATTCCCCCACAATGTTGATTACGAGCGTTGTGTGCTACCAAGCAAAGCCAGTGTTTTTGGGACAAAGGGTGGACAAAGCCATTTCGCCAACAAAGCATCACAATAATAACAATTATTAATAGTTGTTCACCCAGGAAGCCACACTGTGTATTATGTTGAACTTCGTTCGTACCGTACGTAGCCAACTGCGCTAATCGGAGGTTCGGGGGGGGGGGGCATAAAACTAAATACAAAAATCAGTTCTAAAGAAATCAACATTCAACCGAGATGATAGAATTACTCTGACCGGACTGGGTAGAGGAATGCGAGCTCTGAACGTACACAGATGAGGATGGAGCCGTGGTCAGAAGGAAAAGTCGGAGAGCCATTCACGCAACTTTCCCGAGGCGCCCCTGCGGCCTTCTGTGCAGCAGGTGGGCCCAGCTGGTGTCGCCGCAGCAGACAGCAAGTGTGGTGGGAAACGGTCCTGCTGCAATAAACGAGCACGCGGGACAGGCCGTGTCTTTGTGAGTCACGACGATACGAATCCCACCCCCCGTTTGTCAACACCGGGCGAGACGGTGCCATCCGTTCTCAGGAGGCACTTTGAATGGCTCCGTGTTTATTGACTAGATGATTGCGGGAGTGCGTGTTCGATTCATGGCTAACGTGAGTCAGGCAGAGTCGCTGATTTTGATGTTTACCCACAACAGCTCTTCACAGTGGAGGTCCAATTAGAGAGTGCACGCGATGTCAGCTCATCTCCTCCCTCCTCCTCTTGTCCATTGTCCTGGATTCGGTCGATTTAAATGTAGATCTATCCATTGCACGGGCCGTGTGTAATGTGTTTAAATAGGCCTGTGACTTGTATTTAATAATGGGCCATTGAGAAGAGGAGTCTCTTTCTGGGGAGACCGGACGTTAGGTTAGCGCCAGCGAATCAACGAATTCGAATGTGTAAGCAAGCAGCGACAATAAACCCCCAAAAAGAAATGCACCGTAACAAATAGAGCGCAGAATATAACGAAATGTATACTCTCGGTGAGGTCGCGTAGGTACAAAATAAAATACATCAGGTGATGACGGACGCTTGTGTTGCGCCCGAAACGTCGTGATTTATTTTATTTTCTACCTACGTGACTTTACCGAAAGCTTCAAATGAGGAATAATGAAATGTTATAATAAAATATATATATATAATTTTGACAAAAAAATGTGTGCCTGCATATGTTTTTACTTTCTTAAACAGTAACGTGATTTACCAAATTAGTGACACCAGTTGACTGGACTCTATACCCCCATGAACAGACACACTCCACGAGGCCAATCATTACAAGTTGAATTCACTATTATCAATTCTGGCTCCGGAAAGTTCCACTCACTCACAATACGGTGCCACAGACAATGTGGGGACACGTTTATTTATTTCACACGGTATATCTGGCCGTGTAAAGTGCCACGCTCTGTATATCGCGCATGGTTCGTCGTACGAAAACAAACGTTGCCACAAAAAACGTTTCCTTTGCCGAGGACATTACCGCCTCTCCGAATTGGCAACATCGCGAGCGAACCCAAAACCCTTGATTATGAATTAGTATGAGGTACCTATTTGGTTATTGAACATCTTAACACTTGTGGGTTTCTTTTTTTGCCAGAAAGGTTAAAACCTATTTTTTTGATACTCGAAAAAAAGTCCCAAATAGGTGACGAAGGTCGTTTGACGACGTTTCACCGCAGTGGACAGACAATGCGGGTTGGCAGCGCCGGATTATCCGAGTAGCAAACGTCGCTACATATGAAGTAGCTACATGTGTAGTAGCTACATATGTAGTAGCTACGGGCCCAGCACTTTCAAGGGCCCCGCGCTAAATGCTTTCAAGCTATCAATTCCGGTTCAGTGATTCTGCACTTGCTCTATTACTATAGTACTATACTGCAAATACAAAAATACAATTACTTTACTATGCAAGTAAAAAATGTGTCTGTTTTAATATTTGTCCCTCCTGATGTTCACCATGGATGGTAATCTATCTTGGCATTGGCGAGTTGAGGGTGCAGTGCACTCATCGCCACGGAGCAGTGCTCTCATTCACGACAGAGGAGAATGAGTTCGGTTGTGTGGGCTGACGAGTTGCGAAGTTGTGTCGACCGTAGCTCATGGCAGTGGATTGCAATGAGCTCATGCCGTTGCTGAGGCACGAGTGATTGGTTTAATTGCATATCTGACTTGATGAAATTGCACCGAAAGTCATCCTATGACTCTATATCTGAACAAAGAGGCTTAGCTCTCTTGACAATCTAAATCAGCCTAAGCCGTCGTAACTATATTTCATGAAGAAGTGTACGTAGTGTTTGTTGTTGTAACGTTCTGAGCCGCTCCTACTGGACATCTGTGAAGAAACACTCGATAGTTCATCGGATTCGTCCTGCAGTATTAATAATGATTCTGATGTTATGTGGGACCCAACCCGGGGAGAAGCCTGCCTGATGCGATTGTTTACAAAGTCTGCATCATTTCAGCGGCATCTATTCAATACAAGAAAACTCTGGACCGGTTTTGACAATAAGCATCCCATGAGCAGAGTCGGGCCTGCTTACACCAATGCCAGTGAACTACCAGATGTTCGATATGGCTGGAGCAAGCCTGAATCTGCTGACGAGACAATACCAGTGCAGAGTTTACATTGAATCAATGTTACTGAGAAAAATATCCTACCCGGAGGTGCGTGTGGCCGTCGGGATGTGTACAAAATAATAGTGGGTATGTGGCGTGACAGCTGCGTGAAGGAGGCGTAGAGCGTCCGCTTATTCACCTTGTAACTTGCACTCTGCACGATGCCGCGGACGGTCACATCGCGTGGAGTGCGGCCGGGTGAGCGGGAGGGCACGCGCGCCGTGACGCCGTCCCCCGTGCCGCCCGCATGGCCACCTCGCACACCGCTTATCCGGAATCAACGAGTCCCGGGCAGCGCCGTGCTGATGTTGTCTGAATGCAGCAACTTTGAAGATGCGAGGTCGAGCAGAGCTCGTTCCAGCTGCGTGCAATGAGCACGCGGTGTGCGGCGAGTTGTTTTGAAAATGTCACGTCACGTCCAACACGCGTCTTCGCTATGGGAAGAAAGAAAAACAAGCAACGTTTATAGAAGTGCAGAGAAGAATTTATTAAATAGCGACAGTTGTATTTGTGCAACCTGTTTTCCCGTGATACTATTTACACCTTCTCATATATTATTCGTTCTTTCAAAACGTATGTGCTCATAAATGCCATCATGTCAGTATTGTATCATTAACAGTCAACGATCAGCGACTGGTTGATAACTGTGATTGTATTATTTTTACAATATGTGAAATAATTTCTGAGCACCAGAGGTCAAGGCGAAACAGACCCACAGTCAGTGGTGGAATCCGCGCAATTGTGTTCGGGGCATCAACACGAAATTCCGAAATGCCTCTGCCACGCGGGGCCATTCGAGCTGCAGTGGGAATGCCAGAGGACGTTCATTCTTCAGTTGCCACAATTGGACCCACCTGGCCTAGCAAGTGCTGCTTCAGCACCGGCTCTTCCTGGGTAATAGCGATTGCAGGACAGAACAAAATTGATCTACGTGCCAACATAATTGCCCAGGAACAAACGGACAATTGTGTTATGTGTGCCTTCAGCTATAAAACACCTCGAAGGAAATTAAACAAAATCAAAGGGTGAAAGTTATCCATGGCGCGAAAAATGCTCATGGTTTGAATTTAATTAATGAGATTTAGGCCCTGGTATGATGGCTATTTCCCCAGAAATATTTATCCGATTTTGTTAAATTCCAGCTCTGCATTAGACTTTTCCCAATGGATTTAATACGAGTCAGGAAATTATTTAAAAATGTGTTCACGTCAGCAGTCAATGCGTACATTTGTTTCTTGCTCTCATATTTAAGCTACGCATTTACAGTACGTTTCTGCTTACTCCTTTCCAATATACTGTAAGAAGAAGGCATGTGACCCACAATCACCTTGGAAAAATCAGTGCTACATCTCATCATTCCAATTTCATTCACGATGCTATTCACATGGAACAACGTGACACATACAATATATACTCTTTGGTTCTTTCGGTAAAGTCACGGAGGTATAAAATAAAATAAATCACGACGTTTCGGGCGCAACACAAGCGTCCATCATCAGGTGGGAAAGCTACGTCGTGATTTATTTTATTTTCTACCTACGTAACTTTACCGAAAGAACCAAATAGTATGGATTCCTGCAGTCACGAAAGCTTCAAATTTAGACCTACAATATAATTATAAAACAATTCCCATTCAGTTTGTAATGTGAGCGATTCCATTTACTTCTATTAAATATGAATACACACGATCTTGACCGATATAAATTACACCACTTAAACCACAACTATGGATTTGTACCTCTTCACCTTTACATTGCATGACGTTGTCTTATCGTTCTGTTATATTCGATTGCTCTTGTATTGCATCCGTTGTACTGCATTTCCGATGACACAGGCCGCCCTGGAGAGCGAGGGGGGTGGCGAGGATTGTCACTTGGTTTTAAATACAGCTCCCATCTTTCTGCGTTATAATTGGCATTCGTCGGTGAGTACTCCCACCTGACCAGCGTGCAATAATAATCAACCAATTGCCCTATACAGGAGCCCTAGAGGGTCTTTGGTTTCGGCCAAAATACCCTCTTAGAGCAATGGTTGCCAGCCTCACTGGATCCACAGTCCCACCCTCCAGCCTCAACAATTATTTTCAGACCACTGTGTACCAAAAACATATCAACACCACGTATATTTCCAAATCAAAACGAATCGTCGTATCTGCAACAGTCCCGCAGCCCCGCTTCCCATGGTCCTTGGGATCGCAGGCTGGGAGGCAGTGCCATAAAGGGGCTCTGTAGAGCGGCCTCTAGTGGTGGCCCTGTCGCCATCGGTGGCGTCAGAGAGAAATTCTAGGGCTACACCTTTTGTTAAAAATAAAAAGTATATATCTCCGGGTTAAAGTGCAGATTTCACAGAGGACTTGGCTTGCAGTCCTGGAGCCGAGGCTGACAAAGACGATGGCAAATAATGGTGAAGTATGCAGCAGCAGCAGCGGCAGTAGCTCTGCATTCCCTTTTATGGAAGTTCTTAAGCTGCTCACAGAGTTCACCTGAGTCCTGTCGGAGAGGCTTACATTCTCTGCCGAATATGTCATTTTTACGGCGAGCTGGGGTATGGTGTACGTATTTTCTCTTTGCAGCTGAAAGATGTGTTTATGTGAGAAGTTAAAGTATAAATACACGGTCGACCCAGTGTAGAGCCCAAGACGCACGCGCACGCACACGCACGCACGTGCAGGCCACACGAGCAACCCCCGTGTGTGCAGGGCATTACCCGTGCAGTTAGGCAGATACACATGCACTCTGACATGAAGATCATATATGCGGTGAACATTACACATCCAAGTTACAAACACATTATTCATAATAGCAGATATTAGATTATGACGACGATAACAATCGTGATGACGTCGCTTTGTCGAGCCACTGCTGAATGAGGGCCTCCCCGTGCGGGTGTCAGTCACGGAGGTCGTTTGCCCACGCGTCATCGCGCTGGTCAGTGCGGGTTGGTGAAGTTCGGCAGAGAGCGGATTTCCACTGCGGGTTTCAGAAACCACCGATGACAGCCGTGGTCGCGAATTGAACTCCGATCACCGGAGTTCAAATTCTCGACCGCGGCTATGAATGCGGGAAACGGTGGCGTGGCCAACTCCACGAGCAGAGGGCCCCGCTTTGGTCTCCCCCCAAAGTCGATGTCCACACACTGCGCCCGACACCAATTTGAGGCCGAGTCGACCTAGGGGAGTCCCAGGACCCAGTTGACCGCCGCCGCTCACCGCGCCTCCACTGCTCACCTGCACATTCCGTAGCGTTCGGCGCCAGTGACAGCATCGCACCTGCAGCAACAGAGGCGGCTCCCGAACGTGGCGCACGCTGTATCCTCGCTCAATGTGGCTGTAACTGTTGGCAAAAGCTGTGGCTAATTAGACCGAGGGTGAAACGCCGCCTTTGTTTAATAATCCCTTAGAGCTCGCATTCCCACCAATGCAATTGAAAATTATTATTTTTCTGTTTCCAAACGTTGAGGCGGCAGTGATTTATATTTTTTGCGTGTGCCAGCTCCTTAAAGGTCTGATTTATTTTTTTACATTTCCGTCTTTTAAAAAAATCCGGTATTTGAATAACACGTCGACTCCACGTGGGCACAGCTGTACGAACGTTGAACTTCTTTCGCACCGTACGTAGCCCGCCGTGCCAATCGGGTGGCGAGGAAGGCGTGAGTGCAGCTGACAACTCGGCTCCAAGCTCGACCGTGGCACTCGTGACCTCGCTATTCAGGGATGGTAACATTCAGGCGTATCATTCTTATCGTCTCGAGTGGAGAAAATGTTTCACAACCCAATTTAAAGGGCGTGTATTTAGGAATGCGCCGGCCCAGACGCGTCACGTGATAACGTGCAGTGGAGTTGCAATTGACTTAATATTTTGATTTATTTGTTCATTTCAGCCACATTTATGGCCGTCACGTGGAAAGGCTTTAGCTTCGCGTTAGCATGCACTTCCAAAGGTGAGTGATGATGCAGCGCTCACCGTCACTCGCTCACCCGCGGTCCGTCACCCCCTCGTCACTCTCCCGATTGCCACTGCTTACACGGTGGACGCGAACGTCTCCCCCCCCAAGTTGAGGACTCTCTACACCCGGGCCCTGACTGCAGATGTGAACGGATACAATGCGGCGCTTTTATGTCTGCAGGCAACTCTTGTTGAGGCCCGGATAAGACGCGCCTTTATTGTCCGGATCGCTACCGTTCGGGCGGTCGCCGGTATTGGCCAGCACCTCGTGGGCATGTGGAAGCCTTCGCCGTCTTCTCGCAGGGGGCCACACTCTGCGAAGCGCTAACGTCACAAACGAGTTCCGGCGATGCCCGTGCGTGGTTACCGTGGAGAACAACAACAGGATACTGTAAACCTGCCCCTCAAATAAATCTCTCAGAACATCTGACAATAATTTAACCGTTTCTTAATTTTTTTGGAGCTCTAGAATGTAGGTCGTACACGGGCCCACGTACGTGACCACCGAAGTCATTTCGAGCACAGGTTTGGAACGTGCTACTCCACGGCTGTGGTCATCATCGAGAAAAAAATTATCAAGAAAAAAAGACTGCGTCCGTCACGTTTCGCCGGAGGAATCCCTCGCGCGTTCGAAGGCTTCGATGGAGAGAGGGAAGCACGACACCTCGACCGGGACACAGATAACCCCTGGCATCTCCCCGGCAATGATCCGCGACCACGGTGGGAGACTATCAGGGCAGACGTTGGACGTTCTGTGTTGTCTCGGGCGCAGCAGCTACGGGGTCCGGAAGAGGGTAAAGAGAGCACCTTGACGGTGGTAGTGACGGTGGTGGTGGCGGTGGTGGCAGTGGTGATGGTGGCGATGGCGATGACGGTGGTGACGGTGGTGGTGGCGGTGGCGATGACGGTGGCATCAACGGCTTTGGTCGTGCTGGACATCTTGATCCGATCTCCGAACGGTCTCGACGTGCATGGCTAACTTCTCGTTTCAGAGTCGACTGATCCAGCGAGGAGCCCACGCCCCCCAAAAAAACAAACAACAAATTCCATTGACATGCGCAACTATGGGTGGAATTCAGCGTGCCAAGCGTCAACCCAACCACTCCAGACAGTCGGACTGGCTCACACCCACGCACGCACATGTACAGGTCGTGCACCTCCACCATTGTTAGCATAATTACACGAACGTGTGGCCAATGCTTGTTAACCAACAGCATTCAGCTTGAGAACTTGTTTTAAACCAGAGACTGCAAACACGCAGTTTACAGAACAACGATGCACTTTGGAGGAGGCGTCATGTCTGATTGTTAAATTGTTACTTTATTCTCTGCACAACAATGGCAATGATTATTTTGTGTTGTGCATGATACAGTTTTGCTTTGAAACATGACCCACATCTTTCCTATAAACATCTAACAGTTCACCAGAATTGCCTTAGCAAGCCTGACTCTGCTCATGAGACACTGAATGTCAAATCCAGTCTAGAGTTTGCTTTATATGAAACCGATGCTGTTGAAAAAAATCTCCAAAAAGGCTGTGTGGCTGATGTGATGTGTAAGTTTTTTTTCTCATGTGGATGGATAGATGTGGGAAGGAGGCACGTCGTCCGCTTATTTAAACATGCCATCTGTCAAAAGATGCCCTTCAGCATACCGAAGCAATCAAGCGTTTTGGGTAAGTGCTGTTTACTCGCGGCCGTCTTTGCATATGCGGTTGAAAGAAAATCGAGATGTTCTTGCAAAGAGCCTCTGACAAGAATACGGCGGACAATGGACCATTGGCTGTGGCCTCAAGAGGAATCAGGATACAGCCATGGCCAGTTTTAATTAATTACAAGTGACTCACGTGACTGGCACTTCCTTGAGATAGCAACATTGATAAGCAGCGCCAATATCAAATTAGTCAAACAAGGCAGCTTCTGGTGAAAAAAAATACCAAAATGGCTTTGAATTATTTTTATTTTTAACGCATATGGTTTGTGTTAACTGCATCACCATCATCAATAAACTCACACACTTTGATTGGGCTTCAGCACTGGCCTCTGGGGATCTGAGAGTTGAACTGAGAACACAGAGACCGTGATTTAGGAGGGGAGAGGGGGTGACTACAAACACCCATCATCCTTCTTGTCCTCGTGTAAAAATGTGTCCACAATAAACAATTGTGCGTCGGATCCAAACAGGGTGGCCAGGAGGGCCGAGCCGCATGTGCAAATCAAACAGCGGTGCACGCCAGCCGGGCGAAGCCGGGAGCGGAATGTCAACCGGAAGGTTGCGAGTTCCAATTCCTGGTTGGGGGGGGGGGGGTTGAGTCGGCCCACCGTCCGTCAGAGTTCGACTAAATTCCTGCCACCTTGCGGGGAAGTCAACAGCGGTCGTCCTGCGGAGAGACGTATCCGGCCGTAGGAATGTGGAATTTCCACCACTGGCTCGGAGTTATAAACAGGGGATGAACATCAACTCGGTGCCCATTTGCGCAGGACATTTAATTTGTATTTTACGTTTAACTTTCTGATGGCATTTCAAGACCAACGGAAACGTTTCTAACTGTAGGCGACTGCAGTGAACACATGAGTTGGCGATTAAGAGAAATACCTTGAGCCAGATGGTGGGCTCCTGCAAGTGCAGACGTCGGACGGGAGGCGTCCCCTGCGCAGACGCCGAGTGAGCCCGCGGCCGCACGCGGCTGCTCGGTGCGCTGGCATGAGCGGCATTGGCCGTGATCTTGCCTTGCGCCCAAGTCTTACGATTCCCGGAAGGGCCCTTCCTGTAACTTCTCATTATAAGTAACGCATTACCTCTGGAGTGAATGCCATGAAAATACGAGGGCATGTTTCCACTTCCAATTTTTTCTCTCTCAGTGCCATGTCCGTGCCAACAACAGTCGGACATTTTTAAAGCAGCGCTTCGATTTCATATGCAAATTCTGGACTGGCTGGTTCAAGTCACGCGTGGCTACTCGAGTGGCCTCCATGTACGCGCTGCGAAGGGCTCATTGCCCGAAACGCCTCTTTTCTTTTTTGTTACATCTTTTACTATGTATTTTTCCTTTATAGGCCACGCAGAGTTATGGGCGCATGTGTCGAGTTTTATTTTAAAAGCAAGAGTGACGTCCAGAGTTTGCCTCCTTAAAGCAATGCTCCTATGAAACCTTATTCTGGAAGGCGCACAGGCTGATTAACGATTAAAATATATATTTTGAACTCAGTGACACAGTCTAATATATCAGCATTTAAGTTTTTATTTCAAATAAATAAAAACTCCACTCACTCGAGTTGCACCGGAGGCATTTGTGGATTGGTACCGACGCTGGATCAGAATATTCGTTGAAACTGGAGGAATCCGATGAGCTACAAAGATACTGTTCCACACATGCCGAGTGTTGTAAGTAGATGCAAGAAGCGCACCGCTGATGTCCGAGTCGATGCGTCTCACACGTGGCATGTAACGTGGCATGTCACGTGGCATGTACATGTGAGCATGCCACGTGGCATGTACATGTGCGATCTAAACATGACAGAACCCAGGATCCAGTGGCGTAGCAGCCACAGATGGGATTCGTTAATGAGAGGCTCAGCTACTCCGTGCGCACACGATGACCCACAGACTCAAAGAGGGACCCCACAGTCATTGAAAGTATCCCCTCTTTAAGACATACCTGAATATCTAAACCAGCACTGACACCCTCCCTCCTCATCAATTCCTTAAACAAAAAACAATTCATCACCATTGCCCTGATTGTAAGTCGTACCAATCCACTGCTGGATAAGGGCCTCCCCAACGTGAGGTCACGGGGTATATTTGACCCCGACATTCCCTTCGCTTCATTGCACACCACGTATATGTACGAAGCGTTTAAAGTTATTAATATATAATATTTTCATACACACACAAATACAATGATACGCATGATGCCTAAACAGAGTGTTGGGACAAGTGATGTTAGCGAGCACCTAATGATGACGGAAGTGGTGCGGCTCGCACCACTTCAGGTACTCCTTTATAACCAAGGTCGACATAGGGGTGGCCGAGCACCGGCTTCCGTTGGAAGCCGTGGCTGGGGATCTAACTCAGTTCACCGGGTTTGATGCCCGCGCAGTGCGTCAACCGCAGCGCCGCCGCTGTACGCGAACACTCGCACGCACGCACGCGGAGACGCGAGACGCGAGAGTTCGAGCCAGAACGCCCCCCGCATTCTTTCGCCCGCGTGAGGTTCTCGGGCTTGGCGCCTCGCCTCCGATACTGCGGTGGCCGCCGCCGCTGCTGCTGCTGGGTGTGGCTCCGTGTGCTCCCAGTCGTGGTGACGCCACAGCGAGGGGGGACATTGCAATGTTATCGGGAAAAGGCAGCCGGCAGCCGGCCGTCGTCTGACGCGTCGATGGAACGTCGGCGAGCGAGCAGCGCCGGGTATTCACGCGGCGACGGCGGCGAACTCGGCAAGCGTCTGCGTTGGTGGTTGAACTTCGTTCGCATCGTACGTAGCCCAGGACCCGGTTCAGATGATCGTCACTGGTGTATGGCCGTGAGCGGTAATCAAACTCGGGTTCGAAGGGCTTC